GGATTTCAGAACATTTTGTTTTTAACAAATTAAAAACTTCATTTTGTATATTTGTTGTTGTAAATTTCAATTTTTTTACTCTAGGATCTAATACACATACAATTAATTCTTCAGCAGTTGGATCTTTCCAATAATGATTCAAATACTTAAATAAATGAGATTTGACCAAATCAGCCAACCCAGTTGTATTTTGTGGATAATTAATTTTGATCTTTCTTTTCTTTTTGTTATTTTCTTCATTAATATTGATATCATTTTCGTCTTCTTCATCCACATATTCAATATTTCCATCAAAAGCATCTTCAGTTGTTTCATATTCAGGTTCCTCATCAGGTTCAGAAGACACAACTCTATATTTTTTTTTCAACGTTGCAATTAATGGGTAGACAAGACTTATTGTTACAAATTTACTACCTCCTAACAATAGTGTAGCTTCATAAAATGGGCCCAAAATGTTGATCATTTCAAACATAAACTCCCATTCATCTTCTAAAATTTTGTATAATATTAATTTAATGATCATGTAATAGATTTTTTTTGATTGATTAATTTTTAACTTTTGCTTACCTTCTAGCATCACTTTCTTGAGACGATTATAATCTTTTTTTGTTTGACTATTATTATTTTTTTGTTTATATAATATGTTATGCAATGCAGTAAATACAGCATCTCTCAATTTGTAAATTCTCTCCCATGCTAGGAAGGAACTATTCCAACGAGTACATATGTCTCCAATAGCACATAGGTAGTTGTAATTTTTTTTAATTATCTGTAATTATTATAAAAAAGAATTCAGATGCAATCAAACAAGTTAAATAAAATTAATATAATTTTATTTACATTATTATTATCATCATTGTCACCATCATCATTGTTATAAAGTATCTTTTGTGCTTTTTCCAAGAGTTCACTTTGTTTAGGAGACATAAAAAAGTTTATAAGTCTTTTAGCCCTTGCTAAAAATATTTCACAAGGAATTAAGGATTTCCCTACAACCAACTGCAAAGTATGGGAAGCACAACCAATTCTTCTTGTATACGTAAAATACTAATATTAAATTTACAATTGATTAATTTAATAAAGCAAATTTTAATCAAAATATTAAATAATTATAAAATTAATATAGATAACATACATTGCATGCAGCAACCATGTTGCTACCATTATCACTAGTAATAAATATCACCTTTTCATCTAATTTCCACTCAAGGAAAATACTTTCCAATTTTCTGTAAATTGATACAGCAGTGTGAGGTGAGGGAAGATGGGATAAAGCTAAAAGATTTTCATGTAAATTATAATCATCATCTATCCATGAACAAGTCACACCTAAGTAACCTTGTCTATTTCTCGCTGTCCACAAATCTGTTGTACATGCAACATAATTTGCCAATGATAATTGATTTAATAAAATATTAGATGTGTGCACAAATGATGAATGGAGCAATGATTTGATGGTGGTTGATTTAGGAACAACAAAACGTGGATCCAACATATTGATAAAATTAATAAAAGACTTTGATTTGATAATATTAAGAGGTTGCAAGTCTTCAATTATGAATTTAGTTAAAGCCTTTTCAAGTTGTTTTTGTAATTGTGGTTGGTGTGGTTGTGGATTTTTAAAAAAAGAAGAAATTTTTTGATCCTGAACAAATATTATATAAAATATAAATTAATATATATTTCAAAATCTATTAATAAATTGTGCTTTGATACTCACTTTAAAACCTTTATCAATTTTGCATTTGTAATTGTCTTTAGTTATCCCATGGGCAGACATCAAATGTGAAATATAATTTGATGTGGAAAAATCACCACCACGAATTGTTATGCCACAACTTTCTATAACATCAGGTGTCTCAGATATATTCACTTTACATAATGCATTTCTAGATATGGTTCCATTGCTATTAATAATTTCAATTGGTTCCATTAAATTCCATATCCAACTAGATTTTTTAGAGCCTCCTTTTTTGTGGTTTCGATTATCTGGCAATGTTAATTTTCTTTTGGATGTCATTAAAGAATGTAATAGTGATAAAATATTATTTACATTAATTACGTGGATAAATTTTTTTTTATTTTTTATATTCTGTACCACCGATTATTCACCAATTATTTGGTGAAAATTTTCAACACCCGGTTAATTAATCAATGAAAAATTTTCAATACCCAATTAA